TCTCGAAGGAATTTCTCCCTTCTTTTGTCTAACCTTATCCTAATTGAGTTGGTTGGTGCAAGTAAACCCTTTTACTTAATAAAACTAAAAAATGTAAAAAGAAATTCAAAATAACAGGTTTTGGTAAGTTAGGTCAAGTATTGAAGCTGACTAGGCGGTCTACTTGAGTTACTCAGCATTTCTGTTTGCCCAATCTGCAGTCCGTTTGCCCTGTCATTAAAAATTTGATGGCATTAATGGAGGTGAATCGATCTCTAAACCATCCACCTTAAACTCATTGATAGTTTGGTGGATCTCATTGATAGTTTGGTGATCGCAAACCAAATGGACGAGCCCATCTTTCACGATGAGGGGTCTCCTGCTTTCATCGACCTTTATCTCCACTTTGGTGATGGAGACGAATGCCTACCACAGAATCATGCTTTAAAATGACATCTTAGGCCGATAAATTTGGGTCACCGAGACTGATGTATTAAAGAAATGATCCATTCACCAGAAGCAGTAATAATCTGATCTTCAATAGATTTTGCAAATGTAGTTGCTTCTGCACAAAAGAGAAGGCAGAGAAGAAAGAACGCTTTGTTGTTTAACAACACAAAGGTTGACCCAGAACGATGGCATTCCACTTTTATCTAGAGACAAGAATTCAAGCAACATGTCGTCATTCCAATTTTACAGAAACACAAAGACTTAGCTATACAAACAAGTCTTTGTTTCTCAGATTGCTTGGTGATAGAGTTGAAATCTCTTGTCAGAAACTAGGGAGACACACATACTCTACCAATACTGACTCACTTTTACCAACGCAACCAAACTAAGACCAAGTGAAATCGCAGTTTAGCAATGCAGTATAGGGTTCAGGTTCTAATTGTCAACCCGGGTCCTAGTCTACTAGTTACTCGACTAATGAATTACTGACTCTCTCAGTTCGAATACCCGGCGAGCGACTAACCTCCACCAGAATAAGCTAACCGAGGTACTAATACACCAAACTTCAACTACTAGTTTTTATTTTCAGTACAGAGCAGTTAATCGATTTCACGACTAAAGTAATCAATTCACTACTTCCAATTAAGATTTCTCTTTTAACCTATGCAGAGAATATCGTTATAGGAATTTGGTCAGGACTCATGCAATTATGAACAATGTCTCAATTGAATATATCAAGTCAATCATCCACGAAATTGGGTTCATACAATCATTCCTAACATACACGACTAGAGTTATTCGTACCCTGATGAGAAGAGAGATTACTCCATGGAGAGTACGGAAAACACAGGGTTTGAAGGAGAAAACATCATGTGAAGGATGAGATTCTGCTACAAGCTGGAAATTGGAAATCTGAGGGTGAAAGGTCGAGCTCAATTGATAAATCAAGAGAAACAGTCAAACGAAAGCTATCGAGACAAGCAATTTTAACGTGGTATCCCCGAAATATTAAGGACTAATCCACGGGAGGGTTGAATCCTCCATCTACTGATTTTATTTCTCTTGTTTCGTTAACGGCATAAGCCGAGTACAGGGAATATATATACCCTTTCGACAAGCATCTAGGGTAAGCTTATTGCTCGTGTCCTTGGAGAACACGGAAACCATGCAGGCCGCTGGTTGCTGCGTCTCAGCCATGGGCTGCTGTGTCTCGGTTATGGGCTGCTCTGTCTTCTGGTCCAACACTCCCCCGCAAGCTGGAGCGTGAAGGTACGAACGTTCAGCTTGGAAATAAGAAAGAGAAAAAGATCTGTGCCCAAGCCTTTCGTGAAAATGTCGGCCAGCTGCAGATGAGTGCTGGCTTTAAGGGGTAAAATAGCACCGGACTGCACCCTTTGGCGAACAAAATAGCAATTCATTTCGACGTGTTTGGTGCGCTCATGAATCACCATATTGGCAGAGATATGCAAAGCTGCCTGATTATCACAGTAGAGGGGAGTGGCTCGCTGTTGGGGGACACCAAGCTCAGCCAGTAACCAGCGAAGCTAGAGGATTTCACTAACTGTACTGGCCATAGCTCTATACTCTGCCTCGGCAAACGACCGTGCAACCACCTTCTATTTCTTGGTCCGCCAAGAGATGGGAGCACCTCCGAGAGTAATGAAGTAGCCTGTCGTGGATCACTGAGTACTCGCGCAACCACCCCAATTTGCGTCACAATAAGCTTTGAGAGTGAGATCATTATGCAAAGGGAAGAAAATCCCTTGCCCTGGCGAGGTCTTAAAATAACGAAGGATGCGCAAGGCCGCATCCATGTGACAGTGGCGAGGGGCATTGACAAACTGGCTCAAAATGTTGACCCCATATGTGATGACAGGATGGGTGAGCGTCAGGTAGAGGAGACAACCCACAAGCCGTCTATACACTGAGGGATCCGCAAGAGGCGCGTCATCTGGGTCGGGATGAGACTAGCAATGATTTTGCTCGACCGCGAACCCGCTTGGACGAGCCCCTTCCATGCCAGCATCTTTGAGGATGTCCAGCGCATACTTACGCTGGCAGAGAATAACCCCATCACGGGTGCGGGCCACCTCCATCCCGAGAAAATACCGGAGAACCCCCAAATCTTTGATGTTGAACTGTTCATCCAGAAAACGCTTGACATGGGTGATGAAAACCAGATCATTCCCAGTCAAGAAGACGTCATCGACATAAATGAGAGCAGCCACAAAGGTACTCCCCTGCTAAAAAATGAACAACGAGTGGTCGGCTGGCGAGGACCGAAAACCAAGACTGCAGAGCGCTGTAGTGAACTTCTGGTACCAATTACGAGAGGCCTGACGCAGGCCATAGAGAGATTTATGGAGGCGGCAAACCCGGGTGTCGCCAGGAGCCGAAAAACCGGGAGGAAGTTTCATATAGACCTCTTCATCAAGCTCTCCATGAAGGAAGGCATTGTTGACGTCGAGTTGGTGGATATGCCAACCTCGCCTAATGGCGATCCCAAGGAGACAGCGAACAGTGACCAGCTTCGCCACAGGCACAAAGGTATCATGGAAATCAATTCCTTCGATCTGAGTATAACCTTTAGCGACCAGACGAGCCTTGTAGCGCTCCATAGTCCCATCAGGACGATATTTGATCTTGAATACCCATTTGGCAGCAATCGTGCACTTCCCATGAGGCAGAGAGATAAGGCTCCAAGTGTCGTTTTTCTGGAGAGCACGAATTTCAGCAAGCATGGCTTCACACCAATGAGGATCAGTAAGAGCCTCTCGAACATAACGCGGCTCATCGTGACTTGTCACTGCAGAAGAAAAGTGCGATAAGTAGGGGTAAAGTTCTCATAGGAAACAAAATTAGAAAGGGGATGAGTAGTATTATTAGTAGTAGAGGTGCTTCCCTGTGAGGAAGGATCGGTGGGTTGAGTTTCCTGTGTGGGAGCGACGTGGAGCGGAGCATATTGAGTGTCGTAGATGCCCATGTGTTTTGGCCGCGTGCACACGCGATCACCACGACGCACTGGCTGCTGCCGAGGACTCGGATCGTGGGCCAACGTTGGCAGTGGGCCGGTCGCGGGTGATGATGAAGACGACCCAGAAGCACGGGCATGCTCGGGGGAGTCAGCTGGAGCTTCGAGGGTGTTCTCATCAGGCGAAGGAGGCCCAACAGGAGGAGAGACCTGGGCCGGCCCAGGTGAGTGGAGGTCCGCAACTAGCTCATCGTCAGAGTCTGGATCAGGGGAGGAGAAAACAGGCCGCGGGACCCAGTGAAGGCGTCCAGAAGTAGCGGACTGGAAAGGAAAATCATCTTCAACAAATTGGACATCACAGGAAGTGAAGGTTTTCTGTGTGGCCAACTCGTAAAAGCGATAACCTTTCTGACTGGAGGCATACCCAATGAAGACACAAGCTTTACCTCGTTCAGCAAACTTGTCAAGGGAAACATGGGTATCTTGACATATGCAAGGCACCCAAAGACGCGGAGGTGCGAATAAGGTACCGGTCGGTCGAACAAGACCTCAAAGGGCGTGCGACCTGTAGCTGTAGTGGGTAAGCGATTGATCAGGTAGACAGCAGTGAGAATACACTCATCCCAGAAGCGGATCGGGAGACTGGCTTGAAAACGGAGCGCCCTTGCTGTGTCGAGAATATGCCGATGCTTTCTTTCAACCACACCATTCTGTTGAGGTGTGTTATTACAAGAGGTTTGGAGTAGAATACCTTCACTTTCATAGTAGGCACGGAGGGCCAGGGTGTTAAACTCATGGCCATTATCTGCCTGGATTCGTTTAAGCTGTTTGCCGAACTGGCGGCGAATCATCTGATCAAAGAACATTAAGTATCGGCCGACATCAGACTTAAAACGAAGCAAATAAACCCATACTGCTCGACTGAAATCATCAACAATAGTGAGCAAATAATGAGCACCACTAAGTGAGGCAGTCTTGTATCCACCCCAACTATCCACATGGATTAAATCAAAACACTGCTTAGTACGAATCACACTAGTGGGGAAAGGACTGCGAGTTTGTTTGGCCCGAGAACAGGAATCACAAGCCTTATTTGAAACAAAATAAATACTAAGTTCCTTGCGTAGGTGCTGCAATTTGGCTAGGGAGGGGTGCCCAAGACGTGCGTGCCAGATCTCATCCTGTACCTTGCTCTGCTTCTTTGCTGCACAAGCTTGAACCTGTCCAACACCAAACAGACGCAAATAGTACAACCCATCACGTAGCTCACCCTTCCCAATCAACTTCCTGGAATGTAAGTCTTGGATGACGCAAAAATCATCAAGAAATATTAAGGCCACAAGATTTTCTCTAGCAAATCGACTGACCGAAATCAAGTTACACCGGAACTCAGAAACATGTAGAACACGATTCAGCTTAAGATCAGGACCCAAAACAACACTGCCCACATGTGCAACAGGGATACAGTCACCATTGGGGATGTGTATTGGCTGCCCATTCACGGGTGTCATCTTGTTCGTCAACAAATCGTCATGCATGATAATATGTTCATTGCAGCCTGTGTCAAGCAACCATTCAGTGCTTAAAGAGAACATATCTGCTAAGTGAGCTGAGGGGTCTTCAACACCCTTATATTGATATCCAAAAAATTGCTTGAGTTGCTCCCATTGCGCCAATGTAAAACCAGCAATCGGGCTACGCTCGTCTTTGTCATGCTCGACCTGAGCGGCTCGAGGCTCCCGATCGCGATTGCGATCACGCGCTGAGCCTTCCCCGGCGGAATGCCCCTGCTACCGACGCCATCGTTGCCCAACCGACCCTTCGCGAGAGTCACGAGCGTCAGGGTTGGGACGAGAGTCACGTTCATCACGCCCGTCACGTCCTTCCCGCGGGGGATAGCCATTCAGTTGGTAACACTGCTCACTGAGATGGCCCGACTTTTGGAAGTAGCTGCAACGAGGTTTGTCCTTGCCACCGCACTGAGTGTTGCGATCGCCCTCGTTGCGGACAGAGAAGGCGGCGGCATCAGCAGAAGGTTTGCAGTTCTGTGTGATCAGCCGCTGCTGTTCATCATTGATGGTGATGTTGAAAGCCTTAGCCAAACTCGGCGTGGTCTTTATGGCAAGTAGTTGGGTCCGAACTCCTGAGAACGCATCATCCAACCCCATCTGAAAGTCAAAGAGACATGAACTTTCTTGTTGTTCACGAATACGAAGCGAGACACCACAAGTACAGTAGCCACAAGTGCAACTGGGGGTTGGCGATATCGTCGTGGATTCCTCCCAATATGATTGAAGCTTTGTGTAAAAAGCGGAGACTCATTTTTTCTCCTGTTGAAGCAAACTAATCATACGACGCAACTCGTATGCGCGGGACGCATTGCCTTGCCCGAACCGGTTGCGGAGAACATCCCAAATCTCACGAGATGTCTCGGCAAATCTGATGCTACTACAAATCTCTTTGTTCATAGTCGTCTTGAGCCATCCTTTTACCATGGCGTCGCAATGGATCCAAGCGCTCCGCATCTCCCCCGCGGCAGGTTTGGCCAATGACCCATCAACAAAGGAGAATTTGTTCTTAGCGATAAGTGAATCCTTCATGTCAAGAACCCACTCTCCATAATTGGTAGACGTCAAAATATCACCGACCAAGAGCTGTCCTGGTCCATCGGAATTGTGAAGAAGAAGAACCGGCGGGAGATTGTTGCCGCCATCGTCGGACTTGACGCCACTGCTGGAATCGTCAACTGCAGTTTTGCCGTCAGTCATTGTTGCGAGAAGCTAGTAGGATGCTACAGCTCTGATACCATGATAAATCAAGAGAAACAGTCAAACAAAAGATATCAAGACAAGCGATTTTAACGTGGTATCCCCGAAGTATTCGGGACTAATCCACGGGAGGGTTGAATCCTCCAGCTACTTATTTTATTTCTCTTGTTTCGTTAATGACATAAGCCGAGTACAGGGAATATATATACCCTTTCGACAAGCATCTAGGGTAAGCTTATTGCTCGTGTCCTTGGAGAACACAGAAACCATGCAGGCCGCTGGTTGCTGTGTCTCGGCCGTGGGCTGCTGTGTCTCGGTTAGGGGCCGAGCTATCTTCTGGTCCAACACCAATGTCCTTGGATAGCTCCAATCTCTTCCAAATGTTGTTCTTCGTCACTTTCTCTCTATAGGGCTCTCTCTTGCTGTTTCAGAACTTGGAAAAGCGAATAACTAGCCAAAATCCTGAGTGTCAGGTTAGTAGTCTCGATGTTAAAATCCACGGTCAAAATTCACGATCATGGAATTGGGTTCTAGACCGTGGAATTCCAAAATGGTGTGTATCCATTAGTAATCCTCGAGCAATTTCCATGGTCAGCCACTGAAAATCCCTAGTGGTGGAATGAAGATATCAAATGGAGTAATATCTCTGCTCAGAATCCACAGGTAGAACCGTGATTCCACGATCGTGGGTTTGGACTCCGAGAGTGTGGATTTTGTTTCTTCATCCTCCGAATCCCGTCTACTTTCCAATTGCACCCAGACTTGCTCATAAGTCTCCATTCATATACTAGGACCTGAAATATCACCAAAAAGCACTACCTAGAGTAAAAGGGCTACAAAGCAACCAAATGTCAAGCCAAACGATCAAGAAATATCCGGAGAAACATGTGTAAATACGGTGTTACCAAATACTTCTCAATAAGAATTGCTTGTTAGGGCTAACATACACAGTAGTGAAGAGACCAATGTCTTTCCTTGTGATTGAGCAACTCATATGGAAGAATTGTTTGTGCTTTTCCAGGACTTCAAGGTGCACTTGTTTATTATCCCAGAGTACCCAAATGGCCCACTAAATCCTATCGCATCAGAAACCTTTCAAGAATCAAACCCTATGGATTTGGTGACATCTTTCGCTTTCTCCCACTGATTCTAGGTTGAAGAATACAGAGGATGTTTGGATCATGAGAGCTCTTATAAAGCTCTAGTTTAAAATGAAACTTGAGGTGCTTAGCTCCCCTACAATTCCAGGCTAGGATCTTAATCATGGACAATGATTGAGATGGCCCTCTTGTACCACAATTTGCATTGAATTATTTTCAGTTGACGGCCATTGCCGTCGAATCCACTCCCATTTTTTCGCCATCAGCAGTCGCCTAGGTATGAGTAGCATTTTCTGGCAGTCTCAGATCAGCATCCCTCATCGGAACGAAGTCAATCTTCCTGGGTGCCCTTTCCCATTATCTAGGGACAATGGATTCAAAATGCATGTTTTTGTTCATGCAACATGGAGACTGGTTTGTCTCGACTTAGGTTGATGCCCAACAGCAGCTCTAGTGGACTCTCCCTCACCCTTTAGCCTGTTGATCTTTCCGCTACAAGGAGAGGTGACAAGTGATTCCCCTCCTTTTGGCTTTCCTTGAGAGTGGATGTACTGAGGGAGCTTGGGGTCTCTAGCTTGCTCCCTTCCTTCTGGTCCTTTCTTAGCCACCCATGTCCCCTACATGAGTTTTCTATGGTCATATTTCAACTTCACATGATGTATCTCCGGAGAGGTCTTCTGATTTTCTTTCTTGGTAAGATTCAGATTCTGGACGTTTTCCCCTTGCTATTTTCTCTCATGTGATTTTCTCAGTCCTTTTGTCAACTAGAAGTTCTCTCTTTGCTCTTTCCCTGTCCTTTCTCAATAACCCTTTCTTTCCCTTCTGCCACAATCTTCTGTTGTCATAGAATAGCTTATTCTTTTGATCTAAGAACCTCACACATTATGCTCTGGTCCTCAACATCCATACAATTAGCTCCAGTAGGTCTAACCACTTCATCTTTCTCCTCGACAGCCAAAGCATCGAACCTTGTTCCTGTATTCTGAATTTCGGAAGAAATCTTCTCCCCATTAGTCTCAACCACGGGGGTCTTGGTTTTGTTGTTGTTGTTGTTGTTGTTTTACCTTTTCGGTCTGGTTGCGAGCATCCAATGCCCAAAATCTTTCATAGCTTCCATTCGGTTAATTTGGTTTGGTTAATTTGGATAATTGGTTTGGTTTGGTTAAACAATTTTAGCTTATTTGGTTTAGGTGGTTTGGTTTGGTTTCAACACTGCTAACCAATGAAACCAATTAACCAATTAATGATACACGTAATATACAAAATTATTTATACTTTCATGCAACCAACCAAACCAAACTTTCGTGATTTCCTATTTTATTTCCATGTGCACAACAAACCAAAGTATTATGGATCAAAAATTAAATGGGCCTACTTATTTACTAACACAAAATATTTTGGACAACTACTAGATTCTAGGATTATGTACAGTACCATAACAACCACCTCAAACTATGAGTGATATTGGTATGTATTTAATATTTATGTTAAGGGTTTGTTGTAAGCTAACTATATTAGGTGCAGAGATGATGAATGATGTATTAACTCGAATGATGATGATGATCATGGATGGTTGGTCTTATTATTATTGCTTATATATAATGATAGTTTATGATAGTAATAACATATGGTTATGTTTTATTCATTAACAGGATAATTGTTTTCATGTAATGTTATGTTATTTGGTTAATCCGTCTATCCGATTAACCAAACCAATTAAATTTTGGTTTGATAAATTTGATTTTCGTGTTAATTTGGACGGTTTGGTTAAGACATTTTATTCCATGGTTAATGAAATTTAGGCTTAATTGGTTTGGTTATTACCACGGTAACCCTTTGAACACCCCTAGGTTTAAGAAATTTTACTTCTCCCATATTTAGCTTTTTCATGTTCCTAACTTTGTAAATTTCTTTCTATCTCTAGTCCCTTGTTGATTCTGTGAATTTTTTCAGTCTCGTTCCAATTTAGGTAAGTAAGATTCTTCCTTTTTTCTTTTTTTCCAAAAGATACTTCGTATTAAACGAGATAATCAAGATACACTAAAGTCAAGTAGCCGACCAAAGCCAGGAACGAAAATCGAATCCTATCAAACTAGGGAACAATGAAAGGGCTTTTCTGGCCACCATATGAAGCACCCTATTACGAGCACGTCCAACAAAACATATAGTAGAATGGAGAAAACATTGCCTCAACAACTTGATCTCACACAAACTGGCCCCACCACGAGCATCCAAACACAAGTCCTCCTTCACCTTTTCAAGCACTACCTTGGCATCACCAGCAAAGACGACGTCCTGCACACCCATCTCAAGAGCCCACCGGATCCCGTCCCTCAAGGTTAGAAGCTCCACTAAGAAAGGGTCTTGCACATCCGGGTACACAGATGCATCTGCCCCAAGCAGCGTCCCTAAGGCATCCTCCAGAACCCAGCCACCTGCACCATGAGAACCTGAACAAACAACCCCATTCGTGAACACCCACAACGCCCCCTCCGTATCCTGCACTCCACCCTAAACCCCCCTCAGCCCATCCCCAAAGGTAGGGAAAGACGTTAACCCACTACCCAAAGGCACTGCCTCCCATTCTGTCACCTGTCTACTGAACTGAGAGAGCAACACGAAAGGGGTGAACAACGTGGAATCAAAAACCACCCAATTCCGAGCTTTTCATATACGCCAAAAGAGAGAAATCACTCTCATTAACATTCCCCCATCCAAATTTGGTTGATCAAGAAATCATCGCCAGAAGACTTCAACCGAGGCAGTCGTAAGATTCAAATAAAAAGATTTGAAAATAGGAAAAGACCTACGACGATCTCATCAAGGAACATAGTTGTAACACCCTTACCCGGCCGGGTACTAATTTTACCAAAATACCCTTAATAAACCGTGAAATAGCGGAAACATTTCATAAATAACTTTAATAAATACCGAAAACAACTGTCATTATTTAAGCACAAAGTTTGACACTTGGGCAAACTCAAACCTTAAAATCTCAAAATGATCTCCAGCCTATACTCATAATCATAAACTGAAACAACTAAAAAGTCTCTAATGCTATTGCTTCCTGAAAGCCTTGACCAGACATCCTCAGTGGCGCTTGTACTTCCCTCCTCTAGCTGCCTTCCCTCGAAAAGTTTCTCTGGGTCTCGCTGCTCTTTAACTGCTCCTCCTCGTCCTCTTCAAGCTGGTGAGTGAGATGAGGTCAGTCTACGCCCTTACGTTTATTACTTTTAATACTTGACCACTTTGCTTGAAACACTTACTTAAACTTATGGAAGTTGTTTGTACTTCCGCCTTTTAAACTTTAACTCTTGAAAACGTATTAGTTCTTCCTTTATCTTATTGTTGGGCCCCCTACCTCGACTTAGTTGGCGCCACTACTAGCCTTACTTACTTTCTTACTTCTTAAACATGACTACCCTCACAATGGGTGCCCCTCAAATGGGTTTGACCACCGCGGAACGAATCACCATCCGGTGTCAAACTACGGCGTGACTACCACGGAACGTATCACCATCCGGTAGCACACCTAAACCTAGGCAATGGAGACCGCGGAACTCATCACCGTCCGGCTCCACGCCTGACCAACTACCGCGGAACGTATCACCATCCGGTAGTGATCAACTACCGCGGAACTTATCACCGTCCGGTAGGAATCCATCTAGATAGTGGCTAGCTAAGTGAGGTTAACTTATTCTTGCTTATGACTTTCTCTTGCTCTTATCGCTTTAACTTAATCGTCAAACGAAACGTAAAAGCTTTAATTAAATACTCAAAGATCATAAACATATCCTTTAAACTATGAATCAAAAGAACACACATAATCACCCATAAACATAATAAGCACACAATTTCACATAAAACAACTTCTAACACGTAAAGCAAATACTTGACAAATACGTAAGGTGTAGAATTTACCCCCTTTACAGTCACCTTATATCCATCTAAACCGAATATGATTCTGCTCTAAAATTTTTATACTCGCACCAATTAAATTCTCCTCGTTCTCATGATTCCATAGGCGTCGACGGTTCCTCGTTTGGATGTCAAACGAAAAAGATATGACCAAAATACAAATTCTGTCAGATTCCAAAATACTAGGTACCAAATCTATAATTTTCCAAGTCAGCACCATCGGCTCTGACCCTTGTAGAAAATTACAAAACCAATCCCATATCTTTTCGAATTACCTAGTATGGTACCTGATCTTTGACATATTCTTTTCCAAACTAAAAAAATAAAGTTTAATCAAATAAATATCAGAGAAGTCTAGAAAAGTGTCGTGTGTGCATTATGTGGAAGTGTGTAGCGAAGGCAAGTTGGTTTCAGTTATGAGTGTCTAAAAGAAAAAAAAAAGAAAAAGAATGAAAAATTAGAACCACAAATGTAAGGCGATTCTCAACTGCCTAAATTAATAGGGTGCAGATTTTTTTGATTTTGAAGCCTATAAAAGGCTGTTGCTCCTGCGTGTTGTATTCAAGCCAAGAAGTAGAAAAATAAAAGAAGAAAGAAGTTCCAAACCCCTTCTCCAATCTAAGTCCTCTTCTCCCAAAAACAAAATAAAACCCCTCTCATTTCAAAGCTCAATAAACGAGCTAACCCCACCAAAAAGCCCACCAATAGTTTTGATTAATAAGGAAATAATTAATTTATTTCCAACAAAGTGGTATCAGAGCCCGAGTTATTATTAAGTATGCTCTGTGGTTGCAGCGTAGTCTGAACTTCCACATCAGAAAAAAATTTCTCGTGTTTTTGTTATCACGATTGTCCCATGGTCGAAAAATCTACTTTCCCCATTCAATTCCCCCACCTTACCAAAACCAACTACAAAAATTGGTGCATTCGTATGAAAGCCTTTCTGGGATCCCAAGATGCTTGGGATATTGTTGAGAAAGGTTACGAGATACCCTCGGAGGATTCTCGGTTATCTCCTGCTGAAAGGGAGGTATTGAGAAAAAAATAGAAAGAGTGATCAAATGACACTCACTCTAATTCATCAATGTCTTGATGAATCCATGTTCGACCAAGTAGCAGATTCTACCATGGCGAAGGAAGCATGGGAAATTTTGCAAAAAGAAATGCAAGGCGTGGAACCAGTAAAGAAGGTTCGACTTCAGACACTCATGGGAGATTTTGAATCTATGAAAATGAAGGAAGGTGAATCTGTTTCAGATTACACCGCACGTGTGAAGTCTATCGCTAGCAAACTGAAGCAGTATGGGGAGAAAATTGAAGAGACCAAAGTGGTGGAGAAAATTATACGGTCATTATTACCGAAGTTCGACTATGTGGTGGTGGCCATGGAGGAAGCAAAAGGCGTGTCAAAGATGACAGTGGATGAAGTTATCGACACATTGCAAGAACAGGAGGAAAGATTATATAAAATAAATGAAGAATCATCAGAACAAGTGTTAGCTACAAAAGGTACCACTGAAGAGAAAGAAGGTGCCCGAGGAGGAGGTCAGTACAGAGGTCGAGGCAGCTACAGAGGTAGAGGAAGAGGAAGAGCTCGAGGAGCATATCAAAGTAGAGATGGAGGAAATTTCATCACGAACAATTATGAAACGTCCACCAGAGGCAGAGGTTGTGGACGTGGAAGAGAAAGTTGGAGATCAAATGAAGATCATGATAAATCCAACGCCCAGTGCTATAATTGCTCGAAGTACGGGCATTATGATTCGGAATGTTGGAGTTTGCCTAAAGAAGTGGAGGAGACAGCAAACAACGTGCAAGAAGAAGAAATCAAAGGCACATTGATGCTGTCACATCAAGGAGAAGAAAAACCGAAAGATAACATGTGGCACCTAGATAATGCAGCAAGTAACCACATGTGCGGTACAAGAAAAATGTTTGTGGATATGGATGAATCAGTGAAAGGAAATATCGTATTTAGAGACTCCTCGAAAGTTCCTATCAAAGGGAGAGGAACTATACTCATCCGGTTGAAGAATGGATCACAACAATTTATCAGTGATGTGTACTATGTCCCAAACATGACAAGTAACATCTTGAGTTTGGGTCAGCTAATGGAGAAAAATTATGAAGTTCATATGGTGAATCGTCAACTGGAGCTGTTAAATGAGAAGAAGCAGTTGTTGGCCAGAGTCCCAATGTCGAGAAATAGAATGTTCAACCTGAACATTCAAACTGAAATGGCGAAGTGTCTGAAAGCGTGTGTGAAGGACACTACATGGCTATGGCATCTCAGATTTGGTCATCTGAATTTTGAAGGCCTGAAGTTACTCGGTCAGAAGAAGATGGTTCATGGTATGCAAGTGATCAATCATCTAGACCAGTTGTTCGAAGGATGCTTAGTTGGGAAGCAATTCAGGGAAAGTTTCCCGAAGGAGTCCCTGTCAAGAGCTAAAACATCGCTTGAGCTTGTACATGCAGATCTCTGTGGACCGATTACCCCAACATTGTTCGGAAAGAACAAATATTTTCTACTGTTCATTGATGACTACAGTAGAAAGACATGGGTATACTTTTTGAAGCAGAAGTCAGACACATTTGAAGCTTTCAAGAAGTTTAAGATGCTCGTGGAAAATGAAAGCGTCCGCTACATCAAAGTCATGAGATCAAATAGAGGGGGAGAATTTATGTTGAAGAAGTTCAGAAGGTTCTGTGAATATCAAGGAATTCGCAGGTTTCTCACAGTCCCAAGATCCCCACAGCAGAATGGAGTCGTTGAGAGGAAGAACAGAACTGTCCTCAACATGGCGAAAACAATGCAGTCAAAATCGCGCTTTAAAACTTAAAAACTTACGATTTTACGCTTTTAGGTCACCAAAACACTTTCGTTTTCATATAAAAACTTAAGAGTATAAAATCGGACTAAATTGCGCTTAAAAGCTTACGATTTTACGCTTCTAATTCTCCAAAACGCTTTACGTTTTTACGCTTTTAGTTCACTAAATGAGTATTCTTTTCATGAAATTAATTATGAAAAATATATTTTAAAAGTAAATCACCAACAATATGATACATTTGAGATTACAAGATACAAATAAGGTACTTGGATGCATTCTCAACTTAGATAGAGAAATCTAATTCACCCGTTAGGCTTTTCCCAAATTCATTAGCATAGTGGGAAAAGTGGCTTATTGTTAAAATTTATGTTTACAAACTTTATTATAAGATGCTATAAGTTGTTCTACTTTAGGCATGAATCACATGTATTTATTGACTTATCATCTAAATTCTGTGCATTCATATTTTGCATAGCATATGTCATACTTAATACATTTTTAGTTATTTTTTCAGTATGCGTCAAAAACTTACGCTTTTACGCTTTGATTTTACGCTTTACGATTTTACCCCTTTTCCGCTTCTAGATAGAATCGCGCTTTTAACTGCATTGGGCGAGAAGCATGATGAAGAGCAAGAACTTGCTGAAAGAGCTATGGGCTGAAGCTGTTGATTGTGTAGTCTACCTGCTGAACAGGTCACCAATAAAGAGTGTTTGGAATCAAACACCCCAAGAAGCATGGAGCGGAAGGAAACCCACAATCTCTCACCTCTGAGTCTTCGGAAGTGTTGGATATGTGCACGTACCTGATCAAGAAAGGAAGAAGTTGGATGACAAAATCAAGAAGTACATATTCCTGGGATACTCAGAACACTCAAAAGGTTACAAAATGTTTGATCCCGTGGAAGAGAAGCTGATCATCAGCAGAGACGTGGTAGTTGATGAAGAAGCAACATGGGATTGGACTGCTGAAGCAAAGAAGAATTACACTTTTTATCCATTCACTATGGATGAAAGTGATGATGAACCAGATACAGCTACACTTGTGACAATTCCACCCAGTCACAGAGAGCCAACCACCCCAGAAGGAAGTTCAAGTGAAAGTCCGAAAGAGAGGCCACAAAAATACTGACGTCTTGAAGATCTATATGAGCAAACTAAAGCCATTGAAGGTGATGAATTGACACTCTACTGTCATTTCATTGATAGTGAACCAGTGGATGTCGAAGAAGCCATGAAGGATGAAAAATGGAAGAGAGCTATGGATGAAGAAATTGGAGCAATTGAGAAGAACAAGACTTGGGAGCTTGTGTCACTTCCTAAGAACCAGAAGCCAATCGGTGTGAAGTGGGTATTCAAGGCCAAGAAAAATGCTAAAGGAGAAGTCGTCAGACACAAAGCAAGATTGGTGGTGAAAGGATATAGTCAGAGACCAATCATTGACTATAAAGAAGTTTTTGCTCCCGTGGCGAGAATGGAGAGTATCAGGATGGTGATATCTCTCGCTGCTCAAAATGGATGGAAGATACATCAAATGGATGTGAAGTCAGCTTTTTTGAATGGATATCTCGAGGAAGATATCTATGTGGAGCAACCACCTAGATATGTCGTCGAAGGTGTTGAAGCTGAAGAAGGCATTGTATGGTCTGAAACAAGCACCGAGAGCTTGGAATAGCAGGATTGACAAGTATTTTTAGCAGAATGGATTCAGAAAATGCCCACATTAGCATGCACTATACTGCAAGGTGCAAGGGGGAGCAATATTTATGGTTTGCTTGTACGTAGATGATCTCGTCTTCACATTCAACGATTCTCAAATGTTTGAAGAGTTCAAGAAGACGATGGTTCGTGAGTTCGAGATGACAGACATCGGACTAATGTCATACTATCTCGGAATTGAAGTAAGTCAAAAAGAGGAAGGAATTTCATCTCACAGGGTGGTTTCGCCAAGGAAGTCTTGAAGAAGTTTAAGATGGAGAATTGTAATCTTGTGAGCACACCAGTCGAGTGCAGACTAAAGTTATCCAAGGATGATAAAGGAGAGAAGGTCAACTCAACGGAGTTTAGAAGCCTTGTGGGAAGTCTGAGATACCTGACTTGTACCAGACCAGATATTCTCTACGCAGTTGGATTAGTCAGCAGATACATGGAGGCACTAACAATGTCACACTGGAATGCTGCCAAAAGGATACTGCGCTACATAAAAGCTACAATCGATCATGGTCTGTTTTATACTAAGTCGTAAAATTTCAAATTGGTTGGGTACTGCGATAGTGATTGAGCAGGAGACGTAGATGATCGCAAAAGCACTACATGATTCGTATTTTTCCTGGGAGATACAGCTTTCACTTGGAGTTCAAAGAAGCAAGCTATCGTGACACTATCTACTTGTGAAGCTGAGTATGTTGCTGCGACATCGTGTGCGTGTCATGCGATATGGCTGAGAAAGTTGCTGAAGGAGTTGAACATGACACAGGAAGAATCAACTGAAATTTTTGTGGATAACAAGTATGCCCTGGCGTTAGCAAAGAATCCAGTGTTTCATGATCACAGTAAACATATTGATACAAGATATCATTTCTTGAGAGAATGCGTGGAGCAGAAAGAAGTGGCGCTGAAGTATGTGAAAACTGAAGACCAGATTGCTGATATTTTCACGAAGCCGCTGAAGCAAGATGTGTTCGTCAAACTGAAGATGCTACTCGGAGTTACGACTAATTAAACTTTAAGGGGGAGTGTTGAAATAAAAAATAAAGTTTAATCAAATAAATATCAGAGAAGTCTAGAAAAGTGTCGTGTGTGCATTGTGTGGAAGTGTGTAGAGAAGGCAAGTTGGTTTCAGTTATGAGTGTCTAAAAGAAAAAATGAAAAAGAATGAAAAATCAGAACCACAAATGTAAGGCGGTTCTCAACTGCCTAAATTAATAGGGTGCAGATTTTTTTGATTTTGAAGCCTATAAAAGATTGTTGCTCCTGCGTGTTGTATTCAAGCCAAGAAGTAGAAAAATAAAAGAAGAAAGAAGTTCCAAACCCCTTCTCCAATGTAAGTCCTCTGCCAATCCTCTTCTCCCAAAAACAAAATAAAACCCCTCTCATTTTAAAGCTCAATAAACGAGCTAACCCCACCAAAAAGCCCACCAATAGTTTTGATTAATAAGAAAATAATTAATTTATTTCCACATAACCTGAGCTTAGGGACAGATGGAAATCGGGCTCCTTACCCTAGTCGATGATGGTGATGACTATTCTCTCGTGGCCTTCTATCTCCCTCACGTCGGCCGTACGAGAGAAGGGCAGAGACGATGATGGGAGGCTCCGGGAAGCGGTGGTGTGCGCTGCCGTTGTGCGGACTACTGCCGCGGAGGAAGCAAGCGCAGACTGCTGCCGTGGCTCTGGATACTGCTCGAGGGTGGCTGGGGGTTTCTTTTCCAATTCCCTTCACGTTGATGCTCATCTGATTAAAAGGGAAGAAGAGGAACGTCTGGAGAAATTAATGGGATTAATGGGTCTGGGGAGGGGGAAATTGATGGGTATCAGATACGTAACGGGTGGGGAGGGGATCCCTTTCCCTTTTTTTTATAATAACAATAACAATAAAAATAATATAATAATTAATATTATTATTAATTTAAATCTGTTGTTGTCACCCTTCGTACGTAATCATCAACCCAATCGTTCTTTCATTAAGGTCGAAACTGAACCCAAATATCGGGGTGTAACAATAGTTCTCACCAACGTGTTAGACGAATAAGTAAAATTGTAATATACTTCAAAGCAGTAGGGCAATTTTTATTCGTTCGACATATGTGAGATCTACAATGTTTAATAGGTGGTGTGGTTTTTGGCGGCAAAATTGTAGTACTAAGCCACCTCTCTTAAGCATGGTTGTCACGTTGGTATAATGCCTCCCAGTTGAACCTAATATAACCGAGTTGGTTATGAAATCGGCTGAACTACCATCATTATCACCGATATATGATGGATTCCCAGATTCTAGACAAAATTACATTGTTTTAGTTAATTTTTTATTTGACGAATTTGAAAGTTAAATGATGATATTATTTGTTGGATTCAAGTATAAACATATGTTGATGTTAAATGTTGTATTTAAATATTAGTATCTTTTATTTTGTTTGCAATATTATGTTTTATTTAAATACGAATGTAGATTATTTTCAAACATGTTTTATATGTGTTTAAATTTATTTAATATGAACAGGGGGCAACGATCCGGTCGACACCGAACCGAATCGATATTTGGACTGAATCGAATCATAACAAATATAATTTGATTCATTTTGGTCCTATGAATTGTTATAAATATGAAGAAAAAATGGATGGAAATTGAATTAGGACCTGACCGAATCAAACTAAATGAACCCAACATATTTTTGGTCCGATTCCGGTCTTTTTTCCCCATTTGTTTTTGATTCGACATAATTCAATTGTAATTGTTTATGCCACGTAACTAAGCGCCTTCTGCTCGCCCGCCCTGCTCCCTGCACCACCATACCAGCTGCACGCCTCTCTCTGAACACAAAGGCGCCCTCGAGCCCCCTTTTGGGCTCGTTAGCACTCCGACGCTCAAGTTAGAACCACAGCTTTTAGAGAGAGAAGTGAATAGTAATTTTAGAGAGAAGATCCAACCTGAGTGGATGAGCTCCATCAACTTCACTATTTATACCCAAGATAGGTTCGATCACTGTCCACCAAATCCGTCCAACGTCATCACACTATTAAATGCACTGTACCTCGTTCTTGCCAGGCGCCCCGACACTCTGACACTTTGCCCAGGGACCCAAGGCGCATGGTCCCACTTCCTGTCCCCTCCGTATGCTTCTGACCGTTGCCCTCCCTTGTCGCCATGCGCCCTATGTCAGGCCCGGCCCCACCGCACAGACTACAACCTAAGGCCCTTTTTGGGTTCGGCTTTCCCTTTGCTGGGCCCACATTTTAGATCCAATCTGACCTTTTGGGCTTCCCTCTTGGACTCTTATGTGCCCAATAGTAATCCAATTGAATCATACAACATGTTAAATCCGCGAAATGATATGAATCGGTTCCACAACCGACGATGGATGTAGCCTCATGAAACCAAATGGATCTGGATCCCAAAGGGAGTTGATTGACCAGTTTTTACTTTTTATTAGCAAATCGCAAAAATCATATTAGTCGGGCTCAACGGTCCATCCTACTTGAATGAGCCTGTTTCCTTTGAAGAATAGTAAACAGCGTAAGAAACTCGGGAGTGAGCCCAATAACAAGCATTAATGATAATGGCGGTAATGGAGGAGGGTAGGTGAGTGATCCGCCATTAACGCCACTCAGCTTCGCGATTGCGACGGGGGCGCAAAGCCCGCCGAGGAGAGGACCAGTTTTTTAAATTCCCTGTGCACCAATTGACCAAACACCATGAGGAGCAGGAGCAACAGCAGCAGCAACGTTACTACTCCTGCACGGCTGCACTGCACAAGAGAGGAGTAATTTTGAAATAACCAATTTTCCTGGAAAGAGTCGCCAGAAAGAATAACTCTTTTTTCTTTTGTGTGTGTGGAGGTGGGAGCTAAATAATAACTTTGAGAGCCCCAGTTGCATTGCAGTGAAGGCATGTGGGGAAGAAGAGATGCCAAAGCCAAAGTAGCTACTCCTACAACAAGGACGTACGCAGTCCCAGGAAAGCAGAGATTGTCATCGAGGAAAAAGGCAAGTGGGTGGGGAGGGAAAAGGTCAAAATGGGGTAGCTTTATGTTGTTCTAATTTGTATGGCAATGGGGGAAGTCAAAAGTCGATTTTGAAATCTAAGCCAAACAGCCAAAATTAAGTCAGTGTGAAGCCATGGCTGACAGATACACAAAACAAAAAAGATAGAAAATTAGATAGAAAAACAGAGGGAAGGGAAGGGAAAGAGATTCGGTTGGGAGACAGGAAGGAAAAGCGAGTGGAGTCAGCTCAGTTGGCAAAATGAGCAGCGAATGCTTGGAATGTACGATGAAGCCACTACTGCTACTGCAGTGGCAGTGGGAGTTCCAAAATGAATCTCTCTGGAACCCCAGGCTTAGCTTAAGCTTAGGATTTGATTATTCAGAAATAAATAAGGAGCAGAGCAGAGCCGACGGAAATCGTTTTGTCGTTTTATTGTCTTAGATTTGAACGTAACATTAATTTAATCAAATAACGTTCAAGAGTTGTGCTTGTTCGCCGCTGGGGTTGAGTGAAACTGAAATCCCAGTTGGCTACTTTGGGGAATTTGACCAGCTCTGTAGCTACAGATTAAAAATTGGTATTGATGATGGGGAAAACGGGAAACAGAGAGAGACGCCGGAAGAGTAGTTTACAAGGAGAGTTAGGGGCAGGTGCATCAGTAGACAGTAGCGTTGCGTAACGCTAACTCATCTAATTATCATCGTCATCATTAGCCAGGCTCTTACTTTTTCTTCATTGTCTGCTGGGTCCTAAAACCAGATCTATCATGTGTTCCTGTGCATATATCTTCTTCAAAACGCACTCTCTCTCTCTCTGTCTTCCTTTTCCTTTCAAACACTTCCTTCCTTCTTGTTATGCTCATTCTATCTACTTTACTCTTTCTTTTCATCTCTCTCTCCTTTCCTTGTTCACCCGCATCCATCGCCACTCCCCCACTACACTACCAGACATGCGCCATTATGATCTCCTCCGCCTCGTTGCTCAACATCATTAATTGCTTCCTTCCTCCTTTCCAGCCTTCCCCTCCTTTCCCTTTGTTTTTTAATCTCCCTCTCAATTCTCCCTCCCTCCTATTCATTCATGCCGATGAGAAAAATAATTCCCACCAAATTCTCAGTCATCCCCTCTCCTTCTCTCTTCCATAACTCCTCTCTTCAATCTCTCCCTCCCTCCCTCCCGCTACTTCACCGGCGAACCTCGCTCTCTCTTACCGCTCACTTCCCCCTCTCTTTTTAACGGCTGCTACTTTTCTCAACCTAGGGTGTAAAAACGATGGATAGATCTTGTTGAGTTGTTTCTCCTCTCTTTTGTCTGTTAGAGCTCAGCCAAATCTCCGTCCTTTCTTCTTCTTCTCTACTTTGTCCTCTTCTCTTCCTCTTGTCCCTTTGCCCTTCCGTTTCCCCTGCAGTTACGATTACCCTTTGGTGGAAGGAAGTACACCAAACGGCACCTGGAAACAAACACCACTCGACTCTGCCAAACTACACCACCAACGTTCAACACAGACAGAAAAACAGAGTAAAGTCGCTTTTTCCCCTTCCACTCAATACCTACCATTTATTAGTGCTGTTACTCCTCTCTCCGTTACTCCAAAACATCCCCCTCACCTCCCCCATTCCCCTTCCATGAAGAAGCCCTTCCCTTGACAAGGAACAACAAAGGGAAGGTAACAACACAAGATGCTGCTCTGCCTCTGCATTTCACTGCTACTGCTACTACTCTCTGTTCCGGTCGTGCACTCCGCCTACCCGACATTCAACGACGACGTTCTGGGGTTGATCGTCTTCAAAGCCGGCCTGATCGACCCACAATCCAAGCTGGTCTCCTGGAACGAAGACGACGACACGCCCTGCAACTGGCTCGGCGTCAACTGCGACCCTCTGTCCCATCGGGTCACTGGTTTGGCCCTCGACGGCTTCTCCCTCTCCGGCCACGTGGGCCGCGGCCTGCTACGCCTCCAGTTCCTTCAAAGTCTCTCCCTTTCCAACAACAACCTCACCGGCCCGATCAACCCGGACCTGCCCCGGCTCGGCGGGTTGCGGTTCGTGGACTTCAGCCACAATAGTCTCTCCGGATCAGTCCCCGACGGCTTCTTCCAACAATGCGGGTCTCTGTCTTACGTTTCCTTCGCTGGGAACCAGCTCACCGGTGAGCTCCCTGTTTCGCTGTCTTCCTGCTTGACATTGACTCAACTCAACTTGTCATCGAATCAGCTCTCTGGCGAACTACCATCTGGTTTGTGGAATTTGAGAAGCCTCCAGTCGCTCGATCTGTCTTACAATTACTTCGAGGGAGAGATTCCTCTAGGGGTTTCCAATTTGTATGATCTGAGATCGATTAGTTTGAGCAACAACAGATTCGCCGGTGAGCTTCCCGGTGATATTGGGAGCTGCTCGCTCTTGAGGCTCGTCGATTTCAGCGGCAATTCTTTCTCCGGCAGGGTGCCCGAGACATTGCAGAAGCTGAATTCGTGTACTTACCTTCGATTAGGAAGGAATTCGCTCACTGGGTTTGTTCCAGGTTGGATTGGCGAATTGAGAAGTCTGGAAAGTTTGGATCTTTCCGCGAACAGATTGTCGGGTCGGGTCCCGAACTCAATTGGAAGCCTCGACCAATTAAAGGAGCTGAATCTTTCAACGAACCAGCTCACCGGAGGGCTGCCGGAGTCGATTTCAAACTGCCCCAATCTTGTCAGCCTCGATGTCAGCAGCAATCGGCTCACAGGTAATGTTCCTCAGTGGTTATTTAAGACCGGATCGGCCCTTCAACAGCTCCAAGTATTGGATCTTTCTTCCAATGTCTTCTCCGGCGAGATTCCATCCAACTTAGGCTCCCGTAGCAGCATTTTGGTATTGAATATGTCCAGAAACCAGCTATTCGGTCCAATCCCACCATCCGTAGGAGGTTTGACAATGGCACACGAAGTAGATTTGAGTAGCAATCTACTCAGTGGAAGCATTCCTTCTGAAATCGGCGGAGCTACTTCGTTACTTGAACTAAGGCTAAACCACAACTCCCTCACCGGCAACATCCCAGCTGATATCCAGAAATGCTCCCCTCTCACAGCTCTGTAAGTTCCAACTTCACCAATTAAACTTGGTTTCTTTGCTTGAACTGAACTTTTAAGGCATTATCCTAATCAAGCTGTATGTTGCTGTTGGTTCAGGATTTTATCAGAGAACAATTTAACTGGTCAAGTCCCAGCAGCCATGGCGAACCTAAGCAGTCTCCAATTCGTGGACTTATCATCCAACAACTTCACCGGAAGCTTACCAAAAGACCTCACAAACCTCTCCCACTTGCTCTCCTTCAACGTATCGCACAACAGTCTAGAGGGAGAGCTGCCAGTCGGTGGCTTCTTCAACATCATTTCCCCTTCTTCCATCTCCGACAACCCATCACTCTGTGGCGCCGCCGTCAACCGTTCTTGCCCTTCCGTCCACCCTAAACCCATCGTCCTAAACCCTAACTCACCCAACTCCTCCCAATCCCCCTCCGCCGCCGCCTCCAACCTCAGTCACCGGAAAATCGTTCTAAGCATCTCCGCCCTCATCGCAATCGGCGCCGCCGCTTTCATCACCCTCGGTGTCATCGCCGTCACTCTCCTCAACATCCACGTCAGATCCTCCATGTCACGGAACCCTCCAGCTGTCACATTCTCCGCAGCTGACGACTACAGCTGCTCCCCATCCACCGACCCGAACTACGGGAAGCTAGTAATGTTCTCCGGCGACGCCGATTTCGTCGCCGGCGCTCAAGCATTGCTCAACAAGGACTGCGAAATCGGCCGGGGAGGGTTCGGTATCGTTTATAAAACATCGCTTCGCGATGGCCGCTCCGTGGCCATCAAGAAGCTGACCGTTTCGAGCTTGACCAAATCGCAGGACGATTTCGAACGAGAAGTGAGGAATCTCGGCAAAGCTCGACACTTTAATCTCGTGGCATTGGAGGGTTACTACTGGACTCCATCTCTCCACCTTCTAATCTACGAACACATATCGAGTGGAAACCTGTACAAGCATCTCCACGACGATTCGAATTGCCTGACGTGGAGGCAGAGATTTGGCATCGTGCTGGGAATGGCGAGAGGGCTGGCTCATTTGCATCAAATGAAGATAATTCACTACAATCTGAAGTCGAGCAACGTGTTGATCGACGAATGTGGGGAGGCGAAAGTGGGGGATTATGGGCTGGCGAGATTGCTGCCGGCGTTGGACAGGTGTGTGTTGAGTGGCAAGATACAGAGTGCGTTGGGTTACATGGCGCCGGAGTTTGCTTGCAAGACGGTGAAGATAACGGAGAAGTGTGACGTGTATGGGTTTGGTGTGCTGGTGTTGGAAGTGGTGACGGGGAAGCGGCCCGTGGAGTACATGGAGGATGACGTGGTGGTTCTGAGCGATATGGTGAGGGGAGCGCTGGAAGATGGGAGGGTGGAGGAATGTGTGGATGAGAAGTTGAAAGGGAATTTTCCGGCGGAGGAGGCGATACCGTTGGTGAAGCTCGGGTTGATTTGTGCTTCTCAGGTGCCGTCGAATCGGCCGGATATGGAAGAGGTGATCAACATTTTGGAGCTGATTCAGTGCCCTGCGGATGGAGGGCAGGAGGTGGGGTGAATGAATGGATAGGTGGTTTGGTAGATGATGATGAGCTATTAGTTCTGTCTGGGGAAGATGAATCCGGCATTTCTTAATTTGTTCCTTGGTTTTGCATAGTTTTGAAGTAGAAGAAGAGAGAATACAGCAACAAGAGCATCAAAGTCGACATCTTTTTTGTTTCTAAATTTTGTGGGTATGTATGCTATGGATGTGTCTCATAAAATATGTTGTTATGATTATCATGGTGGCAGAAGGGGTTTTGGAATTGCCGGATTCCTTTTCACCGGTTGGGAAACAGAGCAGGCTCTGAGCTGATACAGTTGTTATGGCAAATTGGCAATGCTACATTTTCTGATTCTCCTCATCTTCAATTGGCAATTGTAGTTCTCATAAAAAGAACATAACAGCATCATCAATCTAACAACAACATTGTCACAAACCAATCAAACTCTCAACAACAAGCAGATGATCTGATATTTCACAATTTGACAAGTTTGGGGGCCCAAAAACAGACGAGTATGCTGAGTGAATGTGAGTGAAAGGGAAAGAGCAGAGTTGTGCTGAATGTGAGTGATTGGGAATGAGAAGAAACGACAAAAGCGGTTTTTATTTGCTTCAGTCACAGTGCAGTCCAGTCTTGCATCTTTTTCTATTTTATGGTTTGGTTTCTGTTGTCGAGTCAGTCAGCTGTTGTTGGGAATGCATTGCCATTGCCGTTGCTCTGTTCTGTTTGCGCCCTGGGAAGCCAACAACTCCCCTCTTTTACCAATTGTTTACCAACCATGCTTACTTCTTTTGCCACTCTGTTTTGTTTTTGTGTACTCCTTTTTCCTCTTTGGTTGGCTGATTGCAATTTTGCTTTTTATGGTGTTCATATAGCTGACGAGCAACTGAGGACAATTATTTCTACTACCAAATGCGGTTTTGTCAAAGTTAAGTTTGATACTGTAACTTCAACCTGTCCTGGACTCAGGCTTGTCGTTGCAATATAGTATTCCACCAACTAAAAGCTAGCCATTTTGCTTGCTGTATCTGCAAGCAAGTATATCATATGATTGACAATGAATTGGCTCATATTAATAGATATAAAATTGAAGTGCAGTTAATGTTGCCTAAATTATTATATTTTGATAATCCAAATGTAATTAAATTATAACTTAGTCACTATAATATACATTTTACATTTTGATATTCCAAATGAATTAAATTATAACTTAGTCACTATAATGTACATTTTACATTTTGATACCCCAAATTTAATTTTAATTTAAAATTATTGAATAATTATGTTTTTATATCTAAATTTCATGAGATTTTCGTACCTACAATTTCTTACTTTTACAGGTTGGTCCAATATTTAGATTTTACTTGAATCCATGAATCCAGTCCCACCCATCCATGAATCCAATCCACCATAACATAAAGTATGAATTAAGTTTGTACCATACAAGATGTTGTATCACTCAACTGTAGGAGAAGATTCGACCATTTTATATTTGCTCATTACGCAAAACATTAAAAAAATGATTAAAGAGAGACGATTCTAAAATATTGCAAGAGCGAATTTATAAACTCATTTTGTGCATTTACGAGGTACTAAACAAACTTCTACTAACTACGTGTAACAAAATATGCGACATCTACACAAGCAAGTACCAATAAATTGCTATGGTGAAAAGGGTGGACTGTTGTATTGACGGCCAACTAAAAGAATTGGTCAAAACATTTCCATCATCTACTTCCCATTCGTTTTATTTTTCACTCGCCGTCCATAACCCTTTCTTTATTTCTTTCTTTGTCTTCTTCGTCTAACCCTAATTAGTATACTATTTTAATGTATTTTAATAACAAGTATGAATGGGCTCATACACGACACGACTGACCAACAGTCTAAAGAATTAATAATTGAACCAAGAACCACTAACTTTTTCAGCTCAATTTCGAGTCCAATTAAAAACAAATATATATGGTTATTACTTATTATAAAGTCGTCATTTTCCACTATGGGATTTGAAGTAGGGATGGCAATGGGTCGGGTTGGGTTGGATTTTGCCAAAACCAAACCCATGGGTATATCCCATGAAAAAACTCGGGGTAAAACCCACTAGGTTTGAAAAACTCAAACCCAACCCAACCCGCTGGGTATCCGTATATAAAAATCTCCCAATACAAATTATCCATATATAAAACAACATTCTAGAAAATTCAAGCAAATCACAAATTAACTATACAAATTGTTCAACACCAATCTAGAAAACTCAATAAAATTGAAGCAAATCACAAATTATCCATAAATAACATGATTAATTGAAAGCTTCTTCCTTTCAATTAAGTTTCTTCACTCTCTAGACGATGACATCAACTTCATTCTACACAATTAGAAAGAAAAAATTAGACATGTCTCCACAAACATAAAAAGATTAGTTGTTTAGAATATTAGATATACCGAGAAAATTAACTATATGGGTGTGGGCGGGTACCCATGGGTCGAGTTTACCTAAACCCAAACCCAACCCGGTGAATAGTGAACGGGTTTAAACCCAAACCCGGCCCAAAACTCGTCAACACGGATTTTACCCGCGTTGACCGGGTTGGGTCGGGTGGGTACCCATGTGTTTGGGTTTTGTTGCCATCCCTAATTTGAAGGCATGAAATTTTAAGCGAGTTCCAGTTTGTATTCCTTTTGCTTCTCTCTAGAATTTTTCTTTTTACCTGGACTAGAATTTTTAACAATTATACATGGAATTTTCAACAATTATACATATCAAACAAATAGTTTTCTATTTTATATAAAAAATTAATAATTATCATCTTAAATACATCACCATAAAAGGAATTAAGCCTCAACTATTCAAATTACAGTTGGGTACCTAAACTTAGTAGATCTTTGGATTTATAACCTAATTTTTTTTTGGCATATAAGTCCTCAAAATATTTATGGAACATTAATTTTTTGTGTATTACATCTTAGTACCTGAACTTTTGAAGTTCTACAAACAGGTCTAAGTTTTATATATGTAATTAAAACACCCTCGAATAAATAGGTATCCATACCCAACTCATACACATTTAGATTATGAAAGTAAATATCTATACCCTACCAAAACCCATCTACAAACTTCCAAACCCATATATACGTATCCTACCCATAATCAATGAGTCTACTTGGGTTTAGGTAAATGTCATTTATTAGCCAAAATTTTCAAAAATTTTAAATTGTATGTTGGCCGTCATGTATCTAACATATTGTCAAGTAAATATTACTAACAAAACTGCTAACAAAAAATTAATTTCAGGCTTATAATACTAACAAAACACCATAAAGCCACACAATACATGTTCATATTCATAGGCCATCTCCGTCCGCGACAAGTCGCGGCATCACGGCATCACCACCTAATATCAATATATATAAACATGAAGATGGGTTACTGTTGCATAATCATTTGCGTTTTGATACCCCAAATTTATTAAATCATAATTTTATCACTATAATGTACATTTTACCAGATACTCCAAATTTAATTTTAATGTAAAATCATTGAACAATTATATTTGGTATCTAAATTTTATGAATTATGTTTGGTATCTAAATTTTCTGAGATTTTCTTACCTAATATCCCAAATTTATTTAAATCACAAATTAGTCAATATAATGTACTTTTTACATTTTGGTACCCAAATTTTATTTTTAATGTAAAACTATTGAACAATTATGTTTGGTATCTAAATTTTATGAGATTTTCGTACCTAGAATTTTTTTATATATACATATTGGTCAATGTTTAGATTTCATTTGAATCCATGAATCCAATCCACCAATTCTTTTGAACCAATCCATGAATCCAATCCACCATAACATAAAAGTACACATTTAGTCTATACAATACAAGATGTTGTATCACTCAACGGTAGGAGAAGACTCAATCTTATATTTTCTCATAACGTGAAATATTAAATAAATGATAAAAAAGAGACGACTCAATAATATAGCAAGATCGAATTTATAAACTCATTTAGTACATTTACGAGGTACTAAAAAACTTCTACTAACTACATGTAACAAAATACGCGACATCTATATAAGCAAGTGTCAATAAATTGCTACGGTGAAAATGGTTGATTGTTGTATTGACGACCAGCTAAAAGAATTGATCAAAACTTTCCATCATCTACTTCCTCTTCATTTCAATTTTCACTCGCCTTCCATAACCCTTTCTTTATTTCTTTCTTTGCCTTCTTCGTGTAACCCTAATTAGTATACTCTCTATTCTAATCACAAGTATGAACGAGTCCATACACGACTCACCAACAGTCTAGAGAATTAATAATTGAACCATGAACACTAACTTAAATTGGATGTTGACCGCCATATATCTCTTCTCAGTCAATATTACTAACTAAACTACTAACAAAAAAATAATTTTAGGCCAATAATACTAACAAAACACCATAACGAGCCACTTAATACATGCGCATAGGCCATCTCCACTCCGCGATAAGTCGCGACATCGATTGCCACCTAATTAAACTTAAATGTGAAGCCTAATCCTCCTTTCTTTTTTCCAGCCAAGGGGCAGTTGATTTCATACAATGATCAATTCACCCCGATGGAACAACAAGCAAGCATCTGCTCCCCGAGGCTCATGACAGCTAGCTATTAGGGAAGCAAACAATGACTTGATTTTTTATATCTCTAATCTTCTTTCTTCAGTGAGTTAGGGTACATGGGATGTATTATATGACTTTTCAAATCTTTTTAGATATGATACTAGTTGTAATACTATCGTAGCTATACTCATACTAAGTGGGTGTTCAAATGGTTATCATGATAATTACCAAACCAAATAAATCTGAATTCTGTTAACCATGAAATACAATATCATGACCAAACCATCAAAACTAATACAAAAACCAAATTAACTAAACTAAAATTTAATTGATTAACCAGATTAACCAATATAACGTCACATTATTATTAAGTGAGAAAACTTTCAATTAAAGCATCAATTCACAATTTATATAGTGAAATAAAATATAACAATGAACACATAGCTATAAGTTACCCTTAACATAAATATTAATTACATACAACTAATACAATTATATTATAGTCAATAGACATATTGAGCGAACAAGAATATATGTCAATGGTAATGGCGTTAATGAGTTGTTGTGTTTGTGTGAATTGACATAGACTCCCAACAATTATTATAGGCTGAAAATGACCATCCTTACAAATATATGTGAATAATATTGAGCTTTTTTTACAAATCTAAAAGGGAAGAACATTTGACTCTTGAATGATTATTCAAAGTATGACTTACAAATATATGTGAATAATATTGAGCTTTTTTTATGATTCTAAAAGGGAGGAACATTTGACTCTTGAATGATTATTCAAAGTATGACGTATGTTTATACAATATATATTAGATACATGGTTAATTACTTAACCGGTTAATTTGGTTTTATTGGTTAGAAGATTCTGAAACCAAACCATTTAAACCAAGCAAGCTAAAAAATTGAACCAAACCAAACCAACTATCCAAATTTACCAAACCTAATTGTCCAAATACTACTGGTTAAAACGGTTACCACGGTAACCGCACCGTTTGAACACCCCTAATACCAAGTGTAGTATATGAAGTTTTCCTTTATTGAATCTGTTTGAGCCTGGAATGTTCCAGGCGCTTTGTGAAGAACGAGCAAGGTGTCTGTTCCAGATGGTGGGTGTACTCCAAATTCCTCCAAAACAAGGGTCCGTGGGCGGTCGCCCAGGACACCCTCCGATGCTAAAGTTAGAGATAGAATAAAGGTTTTTGTTTATGTTTATAGAGAGAGAGAGAGAGTAGTTGAGTTACCATCAATGCAGGTATGAATGTATTTATAGTCAGTTAGGTCGAGTATGAGGCATTAAATGCTGTGTCAGGCGCCACAGATACGCCTTGCTTTATTTGGAACGCCCGCCGTGGGCAATTAATGCTCAGTCTTGCGGTATTCGAGGTGAGTATCCTAGGAAGATCTACTTTTCCTGCCACCAACGGTACTCTGTGTCGGGCAGCCTACTCCTTGTCCCATCGTAGCGTGGCTGCCTGTCGTTCTCCATTCCCTATGCCCCCTTTTCTGGGCCCCTCGCTGGGCCTCGAGCCCTTCTTTCGGGCCTTACCTGGTCTACTCCTCATGGGCCGCAAGCCCAATACTGCTCAACTACGGGCCCAACAATTGCCCTTTAGTCGGGAAAAGCTGCGGGTTTTGGCGGCTACTAATCTTGCTGATGGTAGCTGAGCGGTCTTTTCGCATCTGCTGCCCGCACCTTGACCCTAGTCGTCCAAGAGAAGGAGATTTTCCACCTATCGCCTGATAACCCTTCCTAATGGGAACCACCTGATGTTCCAATGCCCTTGCTGTTGTTCCTACCTAGCTTCGGCGAACGCGATCGGTTGCGCTGTCCACCCCTCTTTTGACATGCGTACTATATAGTGCGCTCCGCTTCTAAGCGCCCATTGTGATTTCTTAGTGCTTGCACTTTTCACCTCTTTTTAGTTCACGAGCGGCCCAACGCGGCTCGCTTTAATAATCCTCCCTTGCTGTTGTTTGTTCCTAGCTTCAGCAAACGCGATGATTGGTTGCGCTGTACACCCCTCTTTTGACACGCACACCACAAGCTATTCCTCTTCTGGCCGCACAGTGTGATTTCCTAGTGCTTGCACTGTCCACCCCTTTTTAGTTCGCGAGTGGTCCATCGCGGTTCGCTTCCATAACCCTACTTTGTACTTTGGCGTTTAAACTGTGCGCCCTCTCGTCTACCGTTGACTTGACTGCGCTTAACGCGGTTCGCTTTTGGTTGCTTTTGCTGATTCAATTTCCGCAACTTGTCGTACCGCTTGCATGCCCTTCCGCGTGTCGGTTCTTGGGAGTTGGGCTCTGACATGGGCAGCCACACGTCCAATCAGCTGCCCGTATTTTTGAATTTCCGAGACTAGGGTTTGTCTCGGTCACTCAATCGTCGCTTCGTTGCCCCCCTTCTTCCTATTTATATCTGCTCCTCTCCACTTTCTCCATTCTTCTTCTTCTTCTTCACCATCACTGATTTCTCTCCTATTCTTAGCCAAAATTGCGCGCTGCTCTCGATTCTCCCTTTCTTCTTATTTGCGAAACAATTCCTCTTTGTCTCCGGTGCGAGCAGATTTTCTTGCCAAACTTCGACGAGCCCAGAAACGAGCGAAGATAAATAAAAAGAAGCAAATGGAGATCAAGTCTCAAAGCACCACTCAATCTGAAAATCAGAACCAAAATCTCTCCAGCGACGTCGCCGCCGTTATGATCTCTAGTGGCGCCGCCACCGTCACAGCCTCCGGCAACGCTCGAACCTCCAGCGCTGGCGGCAGCGCTCCTCGTTCCTCAAAGTCTGGAGGTGGCTCAGGTGGACCGCCTTCTGGTGGCAAGCAGGTTATGGAAGGTATTTTGGTGTTTCTTCTTCTTGCTCTCTTCGTGCGTTTTTAGGCTAGGCTTTCCAGAATTAGATTTTGCTGTGCGTGGTCTACGTAGCAAATACTTAGGCGGTCCTTACTGTGACCTTCTAGGAGTAGAACATGATCCTGAGACTGCTGCGGGCACGTCTGCCGGTCGGCGGGGAGCATCTTCGACGGTGGGCGACAATCTTGGGACTTCAGCTACTCGGAAGCGGAAAGCGAACCGCTAAACGTCGCACCCCTTGTCGCCCTCTCTTCAGACAGTGGTTCTGGCGACCGCCAAGGGGCAGATGAGAGGGAGCTATCACCATCCCTAGCAGTATCCGACCCCTTGCCGGTGGAGGCGTTTCAGGTTCTTCACGATACTGACTACCGTGTAAGATTACACGAGGACATGTGGGAAGCGGAAGTGGTTCCTTCGAGCGCTTACGAGCAGGGACCCCCCAATGAGGCCACGTACAATCCTCAACAGGTTCTTCATCAGCTGAAGACACATGGTCTTCCTGTCGATTGGGACTACGCGACTCCTTCTCATGTTGGGCGGCCTGGATCATGCCCGGAGATTGGATTCCTATACATGTGGAACATATTCGGATGGGGTTGACCTTTCCGCTCGACCTCATTCTTACCCGAACACTCCTTTTCCTAAACTGTACGCTAGGACACTTGTCACCTTGCATTATTTTTCATTCCATCGCCTTCAGGGCCGGCTGCGAGAAGATCGGTGAGACGCCCTCTTTTGACGCGTTTCGCCTATTATATAAAATGAGGGGCTCTGACAACTGCTGGTCTTGCTACCGGCGAGAGACGCGGGTAGGCTTCGTAAGCGGGGCACCGAAGTTAGACTCTCCCTGGTTCAAAGAGTACTTCTTTGCCCGTCCCAAGGGTAACTAGTATTCCGGGGAAGTTGAGTCGCCGACAGGATTTGCGGTTGGCGACAAGCAATGCTGTCAAATGTGAGTTTCTACGTAGAAAAGTTTTGGTAATCTAGAAGCGTAAAATCGTAAGTTTTTAAGTTTTAAAGCGGAGTTTTTAACTACATAAGTTGTAAAAACTGAGATTTTGTGTAGAAGCGTTTTAGTGACCTAGAAACGTAAAATCGTAAGTTTTTAAGTTTTAAAGCACGATTTTGACTACATTGGCGTCAAGAAAGATTGGAACAACGATACCGCCGGTCTTGAGCCCTTCAAGCCGTTCTTAAAGTGGATTATGAATGCCATTAAGATTTGCCTCCCTCCCAAGGGCGATGATAATGCCCTGGAGATTATCCGACGCTTTCACGGTTAGTTGCTTTCCCTTTGTGTTGGATGTGTCTGTCATGCCTTTTACTTATGTATTTATTCCACAGGTACGAGCCGCTACGCTTCCTCCACTCGACCGCCAAAGCCAAGGAATAATGCCCCTGCCCCTCTTCCTACCAGTGCTGCTCGCCCAACGATTTCTGTTGCGTAGCCCGCTTCGCCCTCCCAGAAGCAATTGGTTGCCAGCCGCACGGGAGTGCTAAAGCTGTCGGAGCCTGCCCTCACAAGGAGCTCCTCTAAGCGGCCCCTGGACATAACGAACTCGAAGGACTTGAGGTCGACAGCTGGCTAGCCCCGGCTGAAGGCCATCTTGCTTGAGAAGTCTGCCACTCCTATCGACCCATACATAGCGTCCAAGAAGCAGAAGAGGACCCCCATTGACACCTCTGTCTCCTTCTCCTCTCAAGCATCCTTGTATCCTGTGGCCGCCAAGCGTGCCATGCATGTGATCGCCGAGGGGCTGGCGGTCCCCGACGACTACACTCACGTTGCGGGGACTCCCGTCTTGGCATCAGACACCAAGAACCTGGCGGCCGCGACCTCTAGGTTCTTCTTCGCATTATGCGTTCATGCCCTTATCTTTATCTCTTTCTCTTTTGCCTCCTATTCTGCTAACTCCTATGTTTTTGCAGACCCAGTTTGGGTTGAACCAGATGATGCTGCACAATGACCGCCTTCAGAGTGATCTGGATGACGCCAACATCAAAATCCTCAAGCTGGAGGATCTACTTAAAGAGGGTCGCGAAGGAGCAAAGGCGGCGGTGCGGGAGGAGTTCGTGAAGGAGCAGGAGCTACTGGTGAAAGACAAGGACGCTCAGATAAGTCGGGCAAGGAGTCGCTGAGGAAAGCAGAAGAGGATGTCGAGCGTTTGCGGGGGGAACTCAATGACTCGATAGCCCAAGAGAGCGCCTTGCAAACTGAGTTGGCCAAAGTCCGGATTGAAAAGTCTGACATGCAGGGCGCTCGGGAGGCTGACATGCTAGCAGCCGTTGAGGAGGCGAGGGCAGCGTTCTGGACCTCGGACGAGTACAGGGTCGCCGACGACGCGAAGTACAAGAAGCTGCTCCGTGGTTTCGCCGCGAGTACCCTGATGTTGCGTGGGACACCAACGCAATATGGGACGCGGTCGAATTCTTGGGTGACGATGATGTCAACTCAGAATACGTTGCCACTCAAGAGGCGCCTACCGACACAGCTGCTTGTACGATTGCTGCGACCGCAGGAGCCGAAGGGGATGGCCAGCCCGCCGAAGTTGAAGGGGATGAGCAGCACGGTTGATTTGAACCGCTTCATGTTTTACTCTAATCTTTTCTGTTCCTTCTTACCTTTTGCAAACTAAATCTGCCATGGCAGTAAATACTCTTGGGCGTCTCTTTTGGATGCTCTTTGTCGAATGTCTACTTCTTTTTCTATCTTCATGCTTGGATACTATCTTCGTGCTTGGCTAAATTTCATATATCATTCGTAAGCGGCCTACAGTTTTGGGGCAGTCACATATTTACTTTGCAACATTTTGAAGCGTTATGCTCTGAGGCGGTTTAGCCAGTGGCAGTTGTGTATTGTCATTAACGCTTTGGAGCGGTTTTTATAGTTATGATTTGCTTTGAAGCATTATGCTCGGAGGCGGTTTTGCCAGCGGCGGCTGTGTATTATAACTAACGCTTAGGAGCGGTTTTTACAGTTATTTTTTGCTTTGAAGCGTTATGCCCTGATGCGGTTTTTCCTATGGCGGTTGTATACTATTACTAAAGCTTAGGAGCAGTTTATAGTGTTACGTTTTGCCTTAAAGCGTTATGCTCTGAGCCGGTAGATTGTTCGAACAATTTTGCTATCCGACACTTAGATGAACTTGGGAAGATGAACGCCCGGCGGCGTTTTCTCATGTTTTTGAAATTTAAGACCACCACGCCTGGCAGTGGTGGTTTTACATGTGATCTTCCCCAAAAGTAGACGCCTACTATCAGTACACGTCTAGTTCAAAAGACTCAGCGGTCAACGACTTTCTTCCTCTTCAGATCATTCTTCAAAGTATTTCTTCAGGTGGATGGCATTCCAGGTCTTCGTCATTGGTTTTCCCTCCATTGTGGCAAGTATGTATGTTGCTGGCCTCAACTACGGGCCCAACAGAAACAACATGGTTGAAACTAAGGTGTTGTTTGCTAATGGAATTTGGATGTTGGATTTGGTATTCAAATACCAATCATCATGTTTTTTAGAAATCCATTATTTTGTTAGGGTATACGTGGGGCCCATGGATTTGGACCATTTTTTAGCGCCAAATTCGTGGATCCTACGTATTTGCAATTACCACATTTCAGTTGGTAAATTTTTTTTATCAAAGTGAAAAAAATTTAGACCCAAATTTCAAATCAACTAAATCCATGATAAAAATCAACTAAACAAACAATGTTCTCTTTCAAATAAAAAATGCAAAAAATCCGTCATTAGTCCAAAGGTTTTCAAAACTCAAAATTTGTATTTTCAAATCCAACAAACAAACGAAATGGTATCCAGTGGCGGAGCCACGTTGGGCCAAGGTGGGTAGACTGCACCACCTTGGCTCTTTGCAACACACAAATAAAAATTATCAATAATAGCCCTGAAGTAATATCTAACCACAAAAAAAAAAAAAACTTATATAACTTTTATAAGGGTTATCGAACTGTCAAACTCCCTTTTACTATAACATATTAACCTTCTTCAGTTTCAAGTCATTATATTTTTCTGTTTTAACATCTAATTTCTTTATTCATTAGTATCTTTTACATCAAACCAAGAAACATCTAATTTCATCATTCCGTAGACCATCTATTTAACAAAAACAAAATTTATCTCCTTTCTTGAAAAGGCCGTCTATGACATGATAGCGTTCCCCATCAGAGTTAGACTGTCGACTGCCATTTAATGCTAACCGTTCAAGACGTTCTATACTGTTGTTCGACCCACTTTAACAAAATTCTTGCTACTGATGGTATGAACCATGTTTTCGAGTAGTTTTTTTCCGGTATTGCTTATACAAATACTAGAATGGGCCAGCGAGAGCCAACCAAATTAAAGCAAAGGGGAGCTTTTTGTTGTCCTTAATTATCTATGGGCAGGGTATTAACTATTAAGTAGGAAGGAAGGGGGCATGATAATCATGAAAGTGAATCACATGGTGGTCGGCCAAAAAGGAAAAACAAATCAATCCATGAATTTATCATTACTTATTACTTTGGGGGTGCATTGACATTGACAAATGTCATGAGAGTGTTCTTTCCACACTCTCATGACATTTTTATTCCCCATGTTCTCCACCAACCCTATCCTGCAACACTCCCATACCAGCCTAGCTGCAATTAGCAAGGAAGTGGGCTGGTGGTCTAGAAACCAGGCCCCTAAGAGCTTCAGGAATCCTAAACTCTCTGCCCCACACAGGCCTAGGCCCAACTTTGTGATTCATAATTCATAATTCTGATTTCTCTTGGGCTGGGAAATTACTTTCAAACGCCTTTATTCTTATTACTATTACTAGCACATGCCCGACCCGTTGGACAGAAGAATGGACCCGAATTATATGGTATATAATAATGGATATAACAGATGATTTGAAATGTATGAAATGATTGTTTTGTATATGCACATAACATTTTTAAAAGTGATCCAACTATGCATAATGTGTTTAGGCCTCCATGAAAAGAGAAAAAAAATATAAGCATTACATATAATTATTGAATGAAAAAAAATATAAATAATTGTCAACTATAAAATTAATCGAATGAAAAAATATATAAATAATTGTCAACTATAAAATTAATCAAGAATGATTTTATAAATGAATTTTTAGTTGTATACATTGAAAAAGGTTTTAGTCTCAAAATAAACAATGAATGTATTTTATAAACCTTTTAGAATATGAGTCTTCACACGTTCATGTGAGAAACTACTCATTAATTCAAAAATTACATGTTATTTTTAGAATATTTTGTTTATTTTTATTAAATGACGCTTTTCTCCATAAAACATGAGTCCACCAATATAGACTGTGTGGTGCTCGCACTTGTGTGCTAGCCGTTGAAGTTTATGCTTGGTACGACCCATGAAGCATTCATGCTTGTACATGGCCGATTCATATACATTGTCTTCATGGTATGCTCTAACTATATCGTGATAGCTCGACCATGTGCCTATGTATAGTTATATGCATTATAATAGGGTTAATTGCATGGTTGGTCATTGAGATTACAAAAAACATTCAAGTTTGGTTACTCAAAATATTTAAATCTATTGATGGTACTTCAGTTTACGCAAACCGTTCGCGTTTGGTCACTCTCCGTCCAACTCTGTTAACTTTGGCTGATGTGGCAATCAACTCTCAAAGTTGATCGTTAACTTAGTGACGTGGCAACTAAAAAATTATTAAAAAAATAAATTTTAATATTTTCCACCTCATTATTACATTCATTAAAAAATAAAAAAAATAAAAACCTAATTTCTTTTCTACAAACCCCCATACCCTACCCGACCCAACCTCCACTACCCGCAAAATCCGACCACTGTAGCAACCCTTATTTCTTTTCTACACCCGCGATTTCAGCAGCAGGATCGTCTACAACAACAACTTCGATCTCTACACCGGACCGGCTGCCAATTGGAGGGACACAGTCTCTTTCAACACGGCTCCCGACCCACTCAATTCCATGTTTTTGTTTCCCTGGACACAATTCCACGTTGGACTTATATGTCTAATCTTGTCTTTGCTCTGCTCTGGAACCTTAAACAGAGGACGATGATCAAACCTTTTTCACTTCTCCCTTTCATTTTAAATACCCACCTAGCTAGCTTTTCTTGATTACAGTCCACCATCCCAACAGTCTCTGTCTCATCACTCTCTCGATTGAGTTCTCTGAAAAATGACGACTTTCTTCTCGTTGGAGCTGATAACTGAGGTTGCTTCGAACTCAATGATGGTCTTCTTCTTCTGCAATTTGATCATCGTCACCATCCTCGTTGCCTCATCGACATCTCCTTCGATGATGACCGGAATGCACCACGTGTCGATGGCGGGAAGTCCCTACTCCTACGTGACTATTCACCAGCAGGAGGAGACTCTGGTTCTTGGCGGTGGAAATGATGCTCTGCTTCCCAGTGATGAAAACAAAGCATCTTGGTCCTCGGAACCTAAGTTGGCCGCATTGGCAACAACTGCACACCAAGACGAAGAAAAAGAAGAGGAAGAAGCTAGAGGAGGAAGAAGCTAGAGCAGCTGCCAATTTCACCACTTCCTCAGAGTACTCTGTCACGATTTCGCTGCACACGGTCGGCTGCTGCTCGGGATTGAGTGGGCCGGGAGCCATGTTGAAAGAAACTGTGTCCCTCCAATTGGCAGTCGGTCCGGTGTAGAGATCGAAGTTGCTGTTATAGACGATCCTGCTGCCGAAATCGCGGGTGTAGAAAAGAAATTAGGGTTGCTACGGTGGTCGGATTCTCCGGCGGCGGTGGAGGTTGGGTCGGGTAGGGTATGGGGATTTGTAGAAAAGAAATTAGGTTTTTTATTTTTTTATTTTTTAATGAATGTAATAATGAGGTGGAAAATATTAAAATTTATTTTTTAATTTTTAATAATTTTTTAGTTGCCACGTCACTAAGTTAACGGTCAACTTTGAGAGTTGACTGCCACATCAGCCAAAGTTAACGGAGTTGGACGGAGAGTGACCTAACGCGAACGGTTTGCGTAAACTGAAGTATCATCAATGGATTTAAATATTTCGAGTGACCAAACTTGACGTTTTTTGTAATCTCAGTGACCAACCATGCAATTAACCCCATTATAATAATTAAGTTTCTACCTATTCACAACACCAAGATAAAAATAGTCATAAATGCACCTAGTATTCAATTTTGACTAACTAATGAAATACTACATTTGAATAAACTACAATTGATTTCCCAATAATAATTACATCTCTAAATAATAGATAAAATATTTTCAAACATCACAAAAATTAAGATTAAATTCATTATTATAAAGAGTAAAAATTGTATAATGAGGTTAATTATTAATCATTTATACGTGAATGCCCTATAAATTGATCAACAGATTCGATCCAAAACTGACAAAATGAACATCACATTAAACTCGATATCGTCTCATTATTGTCGGGTCTATTCATGCCCGATTAGCAAGAGTTTAACGTTTAGCAGTTAACCATGCTAAAATTTTAGAGAACCAGTCACCTATAGTATGTACAAAATATTATTGTTTCGTATTAGTTCTGAAAATTTATATTAATTTAAAGAATTCTACATCACTTTTGCATATTCAATACTGCAGTTCGATCGCAAATTTATGCGAGCAATGAGGTGGCGGGCAAATTTTGGGTGTCTTTTGTGTATGAGTTCTTGCCGCTATATTGTTACCATTGTGGCAGGTTAGGGCATTTGGAGCGCGATTGCACCTTCCCGGATCCATTGGAGATCGAGAACTATGGCCCCGGGCTGTCAACAGATGTCACCGGTTACAGGTTGAATGAAGGGTCCTTGGTGGCAGTGAATCAGCCGCTGCAAACGTCTGTTTGGGTGAATCCTAAGACTAGTGGCAAAGCAGGCAAGAGAGGGGAGGCTAGTCAACCCCAGGCAGCCTCTTCTGGTGGCGGAGATGAAGCTCGGGGTGGGTCAGCTGGTGGCCGACCTGCTGTTATACTCGGCCTTCCTGCGGAAAAGTCGACGGTGCGGAAAGAAACGGTGGAGGCTGGGATGAGAGGGAAGGCGCCTTTGAAGCAGTATGGGAAAACAAATGGTGGGCAGCAATGTGTAGGGAGTGGGGAAAAATATTCCTCTTCTCATGCTAAGGCTGGGGAAAAGAGGCAATTGGCAGTGGGTGGGAAGGGAAAGGGGAAGGTGGGCGCTGGGCATGGTAGTAAGGAGCCTGCTGTGTTGGCAGGGAAGAAGGGGGTAGTTGAGCCTAGGAAAAAGGCTGCGGTGGAGGGTTTCTCTTCTGTGGTTGGTGATTCTGTTTTGCAGGGGATAGTGGCGGATACGGAGGAGCTCAAGCTGGCCACGGACAAGCTGCAAATTGATGAGTATGGGAGCAACATCTCCACGATGTTCCGTATGACAGCGCCTGAGCCGGAGGGGACTAAGGAGAAGAAGAGAGTGGCGGAGGAAGTGGCTGGGCTCGCCCCAGATCCGACGCCCCCGAAGAAGTTGTGCACGGATGCGGAGGGAGAAGGAAAGATCGGTACGGTGGAGGCAGCCAGCCGCGAGTGGCCCCCAGCGGCCAAATGAGGATTTTGTCATGGAACGTGATAGGAATCGGGCCCTCTCTCACGTCCAATCTTTGTTGGGGCTCGTTCGGTCGAATAGTCCAGATTTAATTTTTTTGTCAGAAACTCGTTCACGTCGGAAAGTTTTTTCTTGCCGTATGCGAGGGTTAGGGTTCGAGTCGGATTTCTGTTATTTTGTTGATGCGGAGAATACTTCGGGAGGTCTTGTTGTGGGTTGGTCCACGGATTTGGATGTGTCCATTTCTTGTAATTCCGCATTCTTTATTTCTGTTGAAGTTAAGAATAATGATTCTCACTATATTGTGGTGTGTACGTATTTAAGTTGTGTTGCGCGAAATCGGCAAGTTCAACTTGAGGAACTTCGCAATTTCTGCGCGGGCCTTTCTGTGCCATTCATTGTACTAGGCGATTTTAATTCGATTCTGGCTTCAAGCGAGAAATCGGGCGGAAATCCTTGGGTACCTGCTCAATCGGAGGACCTTCGGAACTTCGTGAGCGATTTAGGTCTTCATGACCTTGGTTATAGTGGGTATCCATTTACCTGGACCAACCGCAGGTTGGGTGCGGCTTGTGTGGAGGAAAGACTGGATCGGGCTCTGGGCTCGGCCTCGTGGGTTGAGTGTTTCTCGAACACGATTGTTAAACACTGCACGGATCAAGGCTCGGACCACCGGGCTTTGCTAGTTGCGATAAGCCCTTCCAACGCAATTGTCGCCCGTTATTCCGGTTTGATGCACGGTGGGTGGAAAATCCGGAGGTTCGCCTCATGGTGCGTTACGTGTGGGATCAAGCGGTTAGTGGCTCGCATATGTTCCGTCTTTGGACACGTCTTAAACAATTACGGCGTCTCCTGTATGATTGGAGCCGGGCTGGTACTACTAACTCAGCACGTAATATCCGGGCATTGCAAAGTGAAATGGATAGTGTCCGGGCAGAAAGACCCACTAACTAGGATAAGGTTCGGGAACTGGAGACGGAATTAAACAAGCAGTGGGCGGCGGAGGAGATTTTTTGGAAACAAAAATCTCGCGTCCGGTGGCTGAAGAAGGGGGATCAAAACTCGTCGTATTTTCATTTCGTTACGAAGGCCCGTCGCAAACGAAATTTTGTTGAAGGATTATGTAACGCGGATGGAGACTGGGTCACCAAGGAGAGTCAAAAGTCGTAGGTTGCTGTGGACTTTTATGAGCACTTGTTTCAATCAGAGCAGAATGAACCAGGTTTTGCGGAACGGGTGGCAACTCTCCCAATAGATCGTCGAGTCACAGATCACATGAATAATTGGCTAACGGCGGAAGTCTTGCCGGAGGAGATCAGGGAGGTGGTGTTTTCAATGGGCGAGACTCAGGCCCTGGGATCCGATGGGTTTACCGGGAAATTTTTCCACGCTTACTGGGATATTATCGGTGAAACTGTTGTTGAGGCTGTGCATTCGTTCTTTGTGAACGGTCGCATTTTGCGAAGTTTCAACCACACGTGGCTCACGTTAATCCCGAAAGTTGACGTGGTTGAGGATATTCGCCAGTTGCGACCTATTAGTCTTTGTCAGTTTGTCTATAAAATAATTACAAAGATTATGACTGAAAGGTTGGCAATCCACCTCCCACAGATTGTGTCTCTGGGTCAAAATGCGTTCATTCGGGAACGCCATATTGTGGATAATGTCCTCATTGGGCATGAGCTGATGCATTACCTGAAAATCAAAACAAAAGGCAAGAAGGGTTATATGGCCCTCAAGGTTGACATGGAAAAGGCCTATGACAGGGTTGAATGGCCTTTCTTGCTCGATGTTTTGGAGAGATTGGGTTTTAATGAGGTCTGGATCAATTGGATCCGTGAGTGTTTGTCATCGGCCACGTTCTCAGTCATGATGAATGGGAAACCCTCGGGGTATTTTTGATCCACGCGTGGTTTGAGACAGGGGGACCCTCTGTCCCTGCTATTGTTCGTCCTTTGTACGGAGGGGTTCGCAGCATTATTGCGGGAAGCAGTCAGGGATGGGCGTCTAGCGGGGGTTCGGGTTAGTCCCCGGGCGCCGCACGTCCATCATTTGTTTTTCGCTGATGTCTCGTACCTGTTCCTCAGGGGATTTATGGCGGAGTGTGAGCACTTGAAAACTCTCCTGCAGGAGTATGAGGTGTTGAGCGGTCAACGGGTTAACTTAGCAAAATCAGCTGTTTGCTTCAGTCGGAACATTGAAGAGGAGCAGTGTGCGGCAATGGCATAGTGTTTGGGGGTGGGAGCTGTGGGGGTTCAAGATAAGTATCTTGGCCTACCTACCCTGACTTCCAGGTCAAAAGCGGATACCTTCCGGTATTTGGAGGAGAAATTGCTCTAAAAATTGCAAGGGTGGAAACAGAAGCATCTCTCGCTGGCTGCGAAGGAAACTTTGTTGAAGTCGGTGGCTGCGGCTTTGCCGTCCATGTTATGTCATGCTTTAAGCTCCCCCTACCGTTGTGTCGTACGTTGGATAAACATTTAGCTCGATTTTGGTGGGGAGCTCAGGAAGGGCAGTCACGGATCCACTGGGTTTCCTTGAAGAACTTGTGTCGTAGTAAGCATGATGGTGGCCTGGGATTTCGTCGGTTTGAGCAGTTTAATCAAGCACTGTTGGCTAAAGTGGGCTGGCGAATTCTAGGGAACCCAGAGTCGCTCTTGGCGCAGGTGTACAAGGGTAAATACTTCCCCAACGGGTCCCTGCTAGCAGCTAGAAAAGGGTCTCGACCCTCCTGGGGATGGCAAGGAGTCCTGTATGGTTGTGACCTGTTACGGCAAGGACTGCGATGGCAAGTTGGTTCGGGGGATAGTATTCCTATGGTTGGTGCATCCTGGATCCCGGGTCTGCATGGGGAGCCGGTCCAGACTAATCCCGGCGTCTATTTCACAGGGATGGAGAAGGTATCGCACCTTCGGATGTCGCCTAATGGGGAATGGTGTTTGGAATGCTTGCAGTTTTGCTTCCCACCTAGGGAGGTAGCGGCGATCTTATCCATCCCATTGCCCAATGTGCCGGTGGCGGATAAGCTGGTTTGGCATGAGGATCCTTCTGGGTTGTACACTATCAAATCGAGTTATCACTTGGCGATGCGATGTTCCAGGGCTCGTGATCGATGGAAGGTGGAGGTTAGTTGGATGGACCATAAGTTGTGGATGGAGATGTGGGGATACCCTATTCAGCCTAAGCTCCGGTTCTTTCTTTGGCAAGTGTTTCGCCGCATCCTGCCTACTGCGGAGAAGTTGATACCCAAGGAGGTGGAAGTGTTGCCTATGTGTCCTGTGTGTTGGGCGGAGGAGGAGACGATT